TAACTTAAACAACTATCACATGTTCTGACATATAAAAATAGTTCTAATTTGAATTCAATTTAGGTTATTTCCAACAGAGAATACAGATGATTTTTTAAAAAGATCCACTATGGAAATTTTCATTGTGAAATTAAATGAAAATAATATTACAAAATATAAGATTTTAAAAGTAAAGGATAATTCCCAAATTCAATCATGTAGTGCACAGGTAGTAAGAAAAAATTCGATTATCTTGATCCATAAGCTTAATCATTTAAAAAATATTAGTCCTTTGTTGAAATTCTCCACATAGAGGTCTCCTCTCCATTATATTTTCTCTGTATCTCCAGTACCCAGTAAAGTGCCTATATAAAAGATGGCCCCCACCAAAAATAACAGTCCAGCAAGCATACAGAAAACATGTTTGCTTATGTGCTAAATTGTGTGTATACTTCCCTAATGGAGTTAAATAAAAAATCCAAGCCATTAACTTTGAACAAATCATTTACCTTCAGTAAGACTTAGTTTTTTTTCTTTAAGAATGAGTTAGATGATCTCTTTGATCCTTTCCAGCTTTAATATTTTGTAATTAGTATTTATAACAGCAGATATGAGCTCATGTAGCTTTTACAGGCCAGAATTAACCAAGCACAGTAAGAAAAGAGTCCTCAAGGAATTAAAAAGACAACTGAGGGGGCAAAAGCACCACACACACACACACACACACACACACACACGACAACACAGACTCAAATATTCCCTGGAGAAGAAGGGGCTGCTGGGGCAGAAATCCCAGAATGGCCTTTGTTGGTGAGGGGAGGCTACCGGAGCTGGGAAAGATCTCACACACCGAGTAAGGGCTGAGCTGTTTTGGTGAAATTTGAATGAATGGTGGGAGGCATTAAATACAGTCTGTGTGATGTCTTTTAAACTCTCTTTGAGACAAATGAATTCTTAAATGTACAAATTTGGATTATAGAATGATCAAGGAAAATAAGAGTTTAAAAATTATTTCTCAGAGAGAAAAATTCCACTTCATTTTATATATAAATGTTTTATTACCAATTTTATAAAATACCTTAATAAATTATGATACCTAATTCATACACCATTAGTCAGTCTTCCTATAAACATTGTCTTAGATAATAAGCTGATATCTTTCAAGAACTACTTCTGGAGCTTAAGAGTTTAAGATAAGGCTTAAAAGCTTTTAACATAAAAATTGAGATTCAGCTAAAAAAGGAAAAGGAAGGGGAAAGAAATCAAGTTAGTCATGTGACTAGAGCACTTTCCTAAAGACAAACAGAGATAAGCTATAAGAAATACACATATCCCTTCCTGTTCTAAATGATAGCTTTGCTGGATAGAGCAATCTTGGATGTAGGTCCTTGCTGCTCATGACTTCGAATACTTCTTTCCAGCCCATTCTTGCCTGTAAGGTTTCTTTTGAGAAATCAGCTGATGGTCTTATGGGAACTCCTTTGTAGGTAATAGTCTCTTTTTCTCTTATTCTATCCAGCAAAGCTATCATTTAGAATGGAAGGGCATATAAAGTGCTTCCCAGAGAAGGTCAAGTTAAAGGAATTCATCATCAGCAAACCCTAATTATATGAAATATTAAAGGGACTTATCTAAGAAAAAGAAGATAAAAAATATGAACAGAAAAATGACAACAAACACAAATATTGACAACTGAACCTAAAAAAAACAAAATAAAAACAAAAATGAACTAAGCAAACACCTAGAACAGGAACAGAATCACAGAAATGGAGATCACATGGGGGGTTATCAGTGGGGAAGAGGAAAAGGTACAGGGAATAAGTAGCATAAACGGTAGGTAGAAAATAGACAGGGGGAGGTTAAGAATAGTACAGGAAATGTAGCAGCCAAAGAACTTATATGTAGATCCATGGACATGAACTAAGTGGGGGATGCGGGCGGGAGGGGGTGTGCAGGGTGGAGAGGAATAAAGAGGGGAAATGGGACAACTGTAATAGCATAATCAATAAAATATATTAAAAAAGAAGTAAAAACATGAAGATCTATATGGAAAGGTCTGGTCCATTTAATACTCAAGTGATGTTTATTATCACTGTATTGAAATGTTACATTTGAATTCATTTTCTAAGGCAGACATCAAGTGAGTTTAGGGAATGTTAGGTAAAATTTTGATGGATGTATCATATAAAGCTCACCTAAACCGAAAAGCTGTTACATCAAGTAATTCATTACCATTAAATTCAAGCCTATGCCTTTCAAAGTCATTTTATCAAAAGTTGTGGGACCAAATGCAGAAAACCAGCAGTCATCGGAGACGGTTGATGAGTGGGCTGCTGATTAAGATCACTACGAAAACTTCAGACTGGGGCAAGGGACCTCCCAAAGCAGCGCGTCTGCAGAAAGGGAGCCAACCGACACAGGTGGGGGAGCTGCAGTCTCAGACATGATGACAGTGGCTTTGGGAAGACTGTACAACACGAAGAGTTTCAGGTGTTTACAAATGACAGCTGGAGAGTGAAATTAATTAGTGTGTCAGTGAGGCTCAAGCATGCTGCCACTGCCCAATGACTGACATGGAAGAGATGTAGACTTCAAATTCCGCAAGGTCACTGCAGATTATTATATTTAAAACCAAGAAAAATAGTAATTTTATACATCTTTGCTTACTTTATACATCTTTGAATATGTAGTCATTTTTGTACACCTTTAATGCACAATGGTTAACTCGTTCCAGAATTCGTGACGAGTGCCAAAACCAATGAGTAGTGAGCAGGCAACAAGTGATTGAAGAATTTTTCTCTTGTGTGACTCATACAAGTTCTAGCAAGTGTGACAAGACCACAGAAAGTGTCCAGTGATGAAACATTCTTTTTTCTAGTCAAAACGCGGTGAGTAAAGGGTTTCACAAGTTCTGAAGCCGAGAAGTACTGGGGTATGACTGATAACTTACTTTACAGTTTTTCCCATACTGACATTAGCTCCTTATACAGTTTTCTAAATTTCTAGCTATGATGATGAAAATGGTAATTCCATATTTCTCCCTGATCCAAATTCCTTACAACGGCCAAGAGGGTTCTGCACAATTTGACACCAGCCTTTCTTAATGCCATCTCCTACCACTGTCCCTTGGGTGACGGGGAAAATTCATCCCAGTACTTTTCGGACCCCGAGTCATTCCCATCTCTTCCCCACCTCAGGGCGAGCTTCACGGATGTGTGGAGGAGCCCATCGTCCCCCACTCAGAAGAGCTCTGAACTTGGCTTAGTGCTGTGTTTTTGCCATCTTGGAAATTGCAATAGTTTTGAAACAAGCCCCACATTTTCATTTCATTCTGGTCACTTCAGAATGGATAGCCAGTGCTGCCTACTGCATGCCTCTTGTGGACCATGCCCCCCCTCGCCCATCCCCAGGACATGCCAGCCCCTTCCCACTCCAGGCCCCACTGTGTATTGTCTCTTCCCTCCACTAGTTATTACACGGCTGATTCTTTCTCATCCTTCAATCTCAGCTCATATTAACCTCTCAGAAAGATTGTTTCCTGGTTTATTTACCTACAGCACCTCCTCTAACCTTCTCTCTCATTATCCATTTACTTATTTAAAGGCATTTGCTACAGTCTGTAATGATCTCATCTGTTTCCTTGTTCATTGAAGATCCCCTCCTCCTAAATGGAAAGTCGCCGGAGAGTCAGTAATCTTCTCTATTTCTATAGCGCACCGATGAATTAATCACCGGAGCTGAGCAGAGTCCGACACACGGTTAGCACTCATATTGTTTTGTTGAGTGAATAAATGTGGTAATCATAATAATAAGTGGTGCGTCACGCATTTTCTTGGGAGAATTTCTTTGCTAGTTGAAGGTACTGTGCACCCTGCGTTTGTTATCTATTACAGTCCCACAACGCTGGCTGGAGGTCTCCTCTCCACATGTGGGGCGCCCGTGTTTCACAGAAGGCAGCGAAGAGTGTGAGTGAGATGTATGTTTTATAAGTACTGCTGCCTTTCTGTCACTGTTTGGCCTAAAATGTAACTCGGTGCCCTCAACCGAAGAAAATGTATAGCTCTATGAATGAATTTTGGTTTGCTATTTGGAAGGAGACTAAAAAATAGCTGCTGACAGAACATGAAGAAAGCACAGCTTTAGATCCAAGAACCAATAAGAGTTAATTAATATCCAGTGCTAATGAGGCTATAGTAAAATCAGGACATTAAATAAAATGTGGTAATAATATCACATAAACCTCTTCTGGAAAAGAAGTTGACATGAAGAATTTTGGCCCTGAAAATACTCATTCTTTGACCCAGACCATCCACTTCTGGTACTTTATTCTGTGGAAATATAATTTATGTAAAAAATGTAAAGAGCTATCTCTACAAAGATATTTATGAATGTTCTTTATTATATCAGAAAATTGAAAACAAGGCAAATGTCCAAATTTAAGGAAACAGTTAGATAAATTGGAATGATTCACTCAATTAATAATCTGTAACAAGGAAAAATCATCCTGTGTGACAACAGAGCGGAAAACTGATACGATGTGTTCACAGCAAATAGCAGGATCAAAACTACGTAAACATAAAAATAAATAAATAAAGCCAGACACATGGAAAAATATTGGTTGGTAGCTTCTTCATTTTCAATATTTTTGTTAATGTTAATACATACTTGTGGGATCACATTTTAAATGTGTCTAAAAGAAATACGACTTCCCATCACACAGCACCATTTTTCAAAGTAGGTCAGCATGAGCTTTTAAAAGAGTTTGCTGCCAACAAAGTTGTTTAAAATCAAAACACAGATGTAAATAAAATTTAATTAATTTTTCTGAAAAAAGTATAATGATTTGGTTCATGAATATAACATAGATAAATTTACTTAAAAGAAAACAACAAAAAATATAGTTAAGCAACCTTAAAAGTGATTGTTCCCTCAAACATTGTCTAAACTGAGTAAGTTTAGATGCCAGTTAATCCACAAGCAATACATTAAAACAAACAAACAAGCAACGGCTCAGTACTCACAGGTATGCAATATTCCACCATTGGATAATGTAATTTGTGACCTTTTGCCGTTCGACCCGAAAAAAAGCAACTCTGGCAGACATCGTAGTTAAAATGCTTTAGGCTTCTATACCTAGAGAGAAGAAAAGGAAATTCATTGGCTTGCATGCCTCTAGCTAGTCCAAATCAATCATTTATGGAAGGAATTTTATTCATCCAAACCACAAAAACTATACTGGCCACAAATGTGGAATTCACTTAGCGACTCTCCACATTGCCCTTCATTTGCACAATCTTATTTAGAGAAGTGAAACTCTAGATTTTCAGTTTCTGCGGGTCAGCATGGAAAACATCTCCCAGATCCTCCATGTGCCAGAATGGCAGCAAGTAACTAAGAACATAAATATATTCATATCAATAGAAAAGAAAAAAAGAACAGCACTAACAGAATGAAAATGGAAACAAAATGTAAAGGTTACATGAGGTTAATATTGTACACCATTAAGTGCTCAATAGCTTCTAAAATGACCTGCAAAAATCACTTCCAAATTGATGGCAAGAGAATCAATAGGCATCCACTATATCCAGCTGATTCTGGCAGGGAAGCGGCCTGGTTTGGAACATTCACCTACACGAGTATTTCTTGACCTATCAGCATGGCTTGGCAAATATAACTGACAGCTTGTCTTCTAAATGGACTTCTGTTTATTTCGGAATGCTCCATGGCAGAAAGCCATTCTCCCTTTCTTCATTGGGACCAGACCCTTGGACTATTAGTGGGCCGTGTGCCCTGATAAAAATACGTTTTTCAGTCTCTCTTGCTGATGGCAGTGACCAGCGTGAGACATGTCACAGTCACTGGGTGGGACTCCTAGTTGGGATTTCAAGGGACTGACTCAGTTGGGAAGAAGCAGGGTCCTTCTACCTCCTTCCTGGAAAATGAGCCTGACTTCAAGAAGAGCCCTTCCGTTAGCATGAGGTGACCCTGAAGATGGAAGCCACATGTTAAGAATCACAGAGCATAAAGCCACAGCTACGAAAAGGGGGATGTCAGTCACAGGGTACAGACTTCCAGTAACAGGAGGAATAAGTCCCAGGAATTTCATGTGTGCCACAGTGACTCGAGTTGATGATACTGCATTACATACTTACAAGTTGCTAAGAGAGTAGATTGTAAATGTTCCCACCACACACCCACACAAAAAGGAAATGGGAATTATGTGACATGATGCAGGTGTTCCTGACCACCAGGCAGGTAAATATTTTGCAGAAAGTGTATCAAATCATCATGTTCTACACTTTAAACTTATATAATGTTATATATCAACTTTATCTCAATAACTGCGCGGTGGGGAACCAATGGTCCCAGATGACTGGGAAGCCACGATTCAACCTCAGATTCCTAGGACTTTTTTTTTATGAAAAGAAACTAAACTTGTAACATCAAAGCTTCTATTAAGCAGCTGTATGCAATCCTAACTAAAACAATTCCCAGCTTGCAAACATTTTGCAAATCCAAAATTTCATTAAAATTTAATTTGGAAGTAATTACAGAAAAATTCTAGCATTATTTATGAAGGTTCAGAGAAGCAAAATAGGTAAATAAATACTATTACTGCACACTGCCCGTACTCCTCCATCTTTCTTTCTGGAGTTGGCTTTTCATTGCTTCTTACAGCTCAGAGAAAGAGAAAACCCTTTCCCGAAAAGCTGATGAAACCCATACCATCTTGGCCGTGTTTAATTGCCGGAGTTGTTCTTGTGTTGTTTCTTCTACTGACAATCTTTGTGCAATCATTAAGGTGATCAGTCTGAAGAAACCTTTGCTTGGTCTCATCCCTAAACCAGATATCAACTCTACACATGTTTCTTCTCCATTCAGAAAGTGAAAATTTTTAATGGACTACATTCTCAAAATAGAAAAATAGAAAACTGGGAAAATACACACACACACACAACACACACACACACACACACACACACACACGCATGCAAGGATAAGGAAGATAAATATATCACTGACCAGCTTACCATTTTCAATATACTGACACATTTTCTTCAAATTATGGCTAGACTCCTTGAGCAAGCTGTTTGCACATACTAACCTACTTATTTTCCGGAGCCTGAGTCATGCCTGCCATCCTTTATCATGACACGGAAGGAGCGCTTTCTAAAATTACCAGTGACTTCTCCTGAGTCACAGGTCTGTTCTCACGTAGGATGTTTCCAATCTCTCTGCTGCACTTAACATCTCTACCACCTTTCTGAAACCCACCTTCTGATTTCTACGGCACTATGATTCTTCGCTTCTCTTAAGCACTCTGATCATCTTCCTCTCCCTTTTATAGCCCTTTAATCAATTTTGCCTTCTACCACGCCTTCGTTGTTCAGGCTTTTCAGTAAGCAGTGCCATGTCACTTACAGAGTGAGCTCCTCTCCCACTAATGCTTATTAGTTATTGATATTAATAAAAAAGCTAGCATTTATTGAATGCCTGCTCTTTTTGTGATAGATACCTCCCTAGCCACTTTTCATGCATTAACTGTTTCTGGGAGGGAATGCTCACATGAGTTGAAGTGGCAGATACTCAGACTCACGAAGGCCAAGTAACTTATCCGAAGTGACACAGCCAAACAGTAGGTTCAGGATTCAAAATGAAGCAGCTAGACTGCAGAGCTAGGTCTCAACACACTGTCTTCTGCATGTCCCGCTGTAACCTTGACCTCTGACCACCACCTACCTGGTCAACTCTGCATCTTTATATTAGAGGTATCTACATATAAATTTTACATTAAAATTACCAGAAATTCAACATATAACATAGTCCACATTTTGTGACTGCTCTTTCATTTTTCTCTTATGAAATATTTCAAGTTTCTACAAAAGCAGGGAGTCTGAGGTCTGTCCAGAAAGTATCAAGCCATGTAATATGAAAAATAGAGATATTTATTGAAGAAGATACAAGAATCATTGTACATAGGACAATGATGCTTTAGTCCCCTTCAAAGTAGGTACCTTGGGACCTCACACAATTCTCCCGCAGTAACTCCATGGTGTTTTCCTGAATCTCTGAAATCTCTTCCCCTTCAAAGGTGACTTTAGTTTTGGGAAAAGTCAAAGTCACAGGGCACCAAATCTGGGCTGTAGGAGGGCACTAAGTCACCTGGGTGATTTGATGTTTTACCAAAAAAAACTCTGCACAAGATGTGATACATGAACAGTTACGTTCTCATGATGAAGCTGCCAATCACCAGTTGCCCATAGCTGCAGCCTTCTGAATCTTTTGAGTAAGTTTCCACAGAGGAATGTTCAAGCTTAATACAAAATTCAATGCAGATTCATTGCTCCACTTGCTCAGTCATTTTGAAAATGCTAGCCACACAGTCGCATGCTCACGTAACAGCATCTACTGCCCCCACTGACTTGTACAGTGAGGTTGTCATTGTTCACGCATGTGCATTCCAGTCCATTCTCCTTGGCTGCCAGGTTATGTCGATGTTGTACAAATGGTTCTTGTTATGTTAACAATGGCTGGACTTTTTCAGAACAGCCCTCCCTAACAGTAGACATCCCTGTGCCCATATCTCAGCTTTGTTAAATCTTAATGACATGCTACAGTTGTTCCATGTTTTTTTCTATTTAAGAAATAAAGCATTAAAGGTGCAATCCATTCACCATATCCACAGCCTCTGCGAAATCTGGTCCCTCCACACATCTCTGGGTTACAGCAATGGCTACGCGTGGCAGGTTTTACGTAAGCCAGTCTCCTCAAGTCAGTTAATTTTGATGTCTCCTGTGGTTTCCATTGCTTTTTGGACACAGCATACTATTTTTAGTCTAATAATCAATGTGCTAAATCTATTGTTCTTTTTAGTATCATCTAATTTCTTCTTAATGTCAAATCTCGCCTCTTCTAAAAATCTAATCTGCTTTTTAAAAAACACTATGTTGACTAACAGCATGAACTGCAGAGTCAAAAAGATCCTTTTTGAATCCCAGTTTTGTCTGCACTTATTGGATATCTGGCCTTGGGCAAGTGGTCTAATCTCTAAGTCTTACTGCTTTCATGTGTAAAGTAGAGATAATCTTACCAATCTCACAGGGTTTTTACGGAGAGTAAATGAAAAAACAAATGCAACATGTTTCAGCACAGTGCCCGGGATGCAGTAAGCACTGGATAAACAGCAGTGATCACTAGCGCTGATGGTTCCATCTCATTTGGTGTGTCTTCCCACTCCTCTCCAGAGCTTGCTACAGTCCAGTCATTCCTCTGCTCTCTGTGTCTCTCTACCAGGTGCTTCGCACTGCGCCTGCCCAAGAAACCTGCTGTATTGCAACCTCACCCCTTCCATCTTCCCCTTCCCAGTGTCTGCCCTCTGACTTCCACTGGGGCATCTGTGATCCTGGCTGTCAGGTTCATGCTGAGTCTCTCCCCTGCCTTTCTCCATCCTCTTAGAATTTTACAGCCACACTGGTACCAAAGCATTGGAACTTACAGCAGTTTAGACTGGCTCCCCAGCATCCGTGATGGAAGAATAGGAAATTTACAGTCAATTTCTTAGTCTGCCATCTGCAGAAAATACAATGATACTCTTCATACAAACTATGCCGGTAAAGTCAGTCCAAGGAAAGCCATTTTGTTTCGTTCAGGATGCTGGTAGAGATACTGTGCCCAACACAACCAATCCCAGCCACGTGGATGGACTCCTATCTGCGAAATCAACCTCTTAATTCATTCCTCTTCAGGTACAAATGAGAGGTACACACAAAACCTCGAGTTCCACTGCCGAGAACAGGTTTGTGTTTTTTCATAATTGATTTCCAGAGACAACGGGTTGTCTTCTTACCTTACCATAAAGAGACAAATGACCCTGACAGCCCAGACACTTCGTCCTGGGGCCCCCACAGACCCTGCACTCTCCACCCTGGGGCCGCAGACTGATGAGTCTGACACACTGACTGCATTACAGCACGATGGTGTAGCTCCTTGGGTGGAGGGGAGCAGGAGGAATCCACCTCACACCAAACTTGGCAGAAGTAAGACAAAGTAACCGGATTAACTTGCGGTTACTATTTCAGTTTCACTCTCTGCCTGCCACGTCGGAGCCCAAAGGCCTCGGAACAGCACTGAATTCCATCAGGGCCCCCTCTGTAGGACGAGTTGTGCGACTGTCATGCACGAACGGTTCTGTGAAATACGTCACAGAAATTCAGGAAGGTGTTTTGTTCTCGAGCAAAATACTATTGATAATAATAACGATAACACGCTTCATGCACCGGCTCTGAGAAGAAACACCGTCTTTAGACAGGCGGGATGCGCTGAGCCTCTCGTTGATTTAGGAGGCACACCCCCCCAACGGAGAAAAACGGAAGGGATGACAGACATTCACTGGGGTGACACGTACAGGACAGAAAACGGTCCCCTGCCACCGCTGGTGGGAGATCGTACCTGAACCCGACGATCGGACATTCCTTACAGATGTTGCATTTGGCCTGATGTTTCGCGGTCTCCGCGGCGGCCACTCGGTGCAACACGGGCAGCCAGACCATGGACTGGGGCTCTAGGTGCATCCAGTCTATGAATTCTTTCACGCTGATCTCTGGCTTGTTGTTATTCTGGTGAAGAAACAAATACTTTCAAGTAGATTCTGTATATTTAGAAACCAGATAAATGACGATAGTATTTGAAGTAGAAATGAATGGGTTTAAAGAAAAAAAAAGTGAAGAAAATTTCTGGATCAAAACTTGCAACAAGTGTCCTTGCTTCATAATCTTCTGAAAATCTGTGCAGAGTTAAAAAGAAAGTTAATGTAGTTCTTTCCAGGTCAGTGAAATCATGAAATATGTACGGCTCTACAGGGAAAGAAAATTCTAGAACTTAAAAGGAGAAAAAGCAGAAACTGCCATATAGAAAGAAGGAAAAAATCCAAGTACCTTTACATACTCATATTAAAAAAACACAAAAACAAAACCTTAACAATCTAGGCACTCTGCACACGTGGACTTTAATTCCATAAAGTTCACTCACCTAAGAGTAAAAATTGGTGAAAGTACAGACTCACTGCTTCCTTTCCAAACTTGAAGGCCATCACAGATGCTACATAGAAAAAATTATTTCTGTGTCCTGCTCCAGTCCTGTGACAATATCATGCTGGGGGCACATTACTACAGACATACTTGGCAAGATTTCCAAATTTATAACAAAATGTATGAAACATCTTATAGTCTCCCTGCAAATCTGAATACTAATTTACTTTCATATGGGCAAAGCTGAATTTGTACCAGTATCTTTCTTCTGCTGTTGTCAAGGTCATTCTATGAAACAGAGCATGGGAAATTATATTTAGAATTTTCAATCAGTATTTTTTTTGTATCTCTAAAACAAGAAGAAGGTCTATTATAAAATGTAATAACCCATAAAATCAATTTGCCTTTAAGGAATGGCGTGAGCATTTTTTTTTCCTTACAATGATAAATCACTGAATATGCTTTGAGAAAATATCTGTAGGCTTGTACTTCATGCAGATGTAGAATATCAGTAGTAGCAGTTCTCTTTTTTAACAGTTTTCAAATCCTTTACATAGAGTAAGCATTAAAAAGAAACTAACATGTTTTCCAGTTTAACATCAGTAACTTAGACCAGTATACAACTTTGTATATCATTTTCCTTTCGTACAAAAGTTCTCGAAGCAAAGACTTTAGTTTGATAACATTTTTAATTTATATATTTTAAAAATCTTGCCACCAAGAGACTCAGGGCTTTTATTAATGTATTTAGCGAATATTTATTAAGTAGCTGTGACATTTAAGGCACTCCACACAGGGATACAATAATAAAATAATAAAAATTATCCTTGTTCATAAGTTTAGGTTTATATGGAAGAAAAATCTAAATAAACAATTATGCAATTTAGTATGCAATGATAATTGCAATGAGCATAATAAGAAGGCAGAGGGGACTCCGGGGAATACAGTGAGATACTTGATCTCATCCAAAGGGCTCAGAGAAGGATTTCAGAGGAGGTGAGATTTAAGCAAAGATCTAAAGAACAAATACGGATCAGCAATGAGAAGGGAGTGTGTGGGTGGAGAACATTTTGAACAGAGGGCTAAGTCCAAAGGCACTAAGGCAAGAATGGAGGGACAAGCAGGGAGCAAGGGGACCAGTGACAAAAGACGAGCCCAGGGCAAAGGCAGGGCCAAATCACAGCCATCTGATCTGATAGCTCAGGGTGTCAAACTCATTTCGCTGGGGGCCACATCAGCCTTGCGGTTGCCTTCAAAGGGCCGAATGTAACTTTAGGACTGTAGAAATGTAACTACTCCTTAACAGTTGAGCAAGAGCTTGGCACTGTCACCGGGTAGAAACAAGGTGCTGGGCTGGATAAAAACAGGCGGAGGGCCGGATTCAGCCCACGGGCCTTGTGATCACCACCTGTGTGATAGGACATGTTAAATACTTTTGATGTTTTACATTGAGAAGCAGTAGGTCTCCTTGGGGGCAGCAGCTATTTCTTGATCAAATATGCCTTAAGAAACAAAATGCAAACTTACGGGGATGGTACCCAATACCCTCCACCATCTGGCTCCAGCCCAAGTCCTCTGCTCCATTTCTTGGAACATCCTCAAAACCCTTTCTCCGTGCAGCCCACACACCGGCGAGCCTTCGTGTTTACCTGCTGGAAACAGCTGCGGACACTGGGCTCAATGTTACTGCCTCCGAAAGCGGCTACCTCTCCCAGCTGCCGGGGGATCTGGATGGCATCGTGGAGTAAGAGGCCCAGCTGCCTCTGGTCACACATTTCTGTAGGTCCTGCCACTTCCTTGAAGAGATCTACGAGAAGGAGAGGCGAGAGGTTAGCTCCCATCTGCCCGCAGTGTGCATTCACGTCTTTGGTTTTGGGGACTGAACCCTGTAGACTAGAAACAGTGGGTGGGGACGTGAATGAACTAGTTGTCTCCTGCATTCTGACAACCTTGACGCTCTGCGTATCTGTAATCAGAAACTGGTTAACCACACACTTCTTAGAACAGCCTGCCGTTGTACGCCAACATGTGTCAGTAGACCAATCGCTACAAATCTCTCCAAATGGTGTAATAAATGCATGTGGGTTTCACTCGATGGTTTCAATAAAGGCTTTCCCTCCTACCGAGTCCCTGTGAGTCCGCACGAGGCTTCCTTCGAGACTTGTCGGAGGAATAAATGTGCCTCAAGCAGCGCATCTTCCAATCTTATCAGATTTGTTTACAAAATTCTTGTGTTCACTCCTAAATTTAATATTCTGTTAAACTATGTATTTGCTTCCTTCGAAGTGTTCTATACTCGAATCTATTTTATGTAAGAAAGAGTAAAAAGCACAGGAAAGTGTTTTTTTATTTCTAGGTTTGTTATTTGAGGCCAAATCAGTCTCATTCCTTACTAGCTATAAAAAGTGTGTTTGTTTTACTTCATTGCATGTAATAAAATACATTTATTCAAATTTTAAGGACATAGTAACAAATCTCACAGTTCTTAGGCCTTTCTGTTCACTAAAAAAAACACTAATTTATTTTATAACTTTCTTCATTCAATAAAATTAAAACTCTCCTTTCCATTATTGGCTTATCATCTATTCACCACTTTAAATATTATGCAGATTGAAATTATTACTCTGTTCCCAGCAATAAAGCTAGTATGTTTAAATAAGTTACTATAGTAGTAGGGAGAAATTTCATGTGAAAACAACCTACTTTGTTATAGAAACTAATACTTTTTGGAAAGAAATTTCCAAGTTCTGAAAATTCATAATCATGTAAACTCTAAAGCTTTTTATGTGAAGTTTCCAAGAATAGAAGAAAGAGGAATATTTATTGGAACCTGAAAACAATTTTTCAAAAATACCTGGTAAACAAACGTCAGATCAAAATGTATATTCTTTTTATTTCAAAGGGAAATAACGCCAGATCTAACACTGGCAACAATGAACTTTCAAACAGCTGAACCAAGCTTAGTGATATTGACACAGTACTTACAAAGAAATATGACTTTAATTATAACCATATAAAGGGAAAGCAAATTCAATTAAGATAAATTTAATTTTTATTATCATCTATTTATTTAGATTTGGTTAGAGGTTCTTGTTTCTTTTGATTTGTCAAAAGTAAGACTAGCATAGCTGGAAAGTATTTGTCCAGGATTCTTACTGTGGTGCTTATTCTGAGACTGCTCCTGGGAGGAGGACCCTCAGGTAAGTGCAGGTGATTCATATGGATAATGATCTCTACAGAGGAGTGCGCATGTGCAGTGAGATCCACTGTGCCCAACTTGCTACTTTTGAGGCAGGTGCTATGCTGCTGTGCCACCATTAAGGTAAAACTACACACAAAATATAAAAGATGAATGTAAAAGGTGATAAATTGGAAATTTTGACATATTTCTAAATTTTTATGAAAGTTCACATTTTTGATGTCATAGTCAAAAGTAAAAAGGAATGTCAGAATGTGGGAATGAGTCAGAGAGAAGTCAATCTAAAACCCAAATTCCAGTAAATGGGCACAGAAGAGATGCAAAAGGCCACTGAGAAGCATCTTCGTGTGTCCTTGATCAGGCACAGAAGCCACCAGCTATAGGCGGGAAGGCCAAGGTGTTGCTGGAACCTAATCAAGGCATGCTCTCCAGAAGGCATGAAGAGAGGGGGTTGTCACCAGGGTAAAGACACTGACATTAGCCATTGCAAATCAATGCTCAGAGAGATACCAAGTAACACAGGGTGGCACCTTTGCCACTGAGCTTGGAGAGCAAATTGTCTTGAATGTTAATCCTGACAATGGAAGTAGTAAGAGGAAGTGTTCTGATATCACTGGGGAAATCAAAACTGGAATCAGAGTCGCTAAGGGCCTTGGAGTAAAAAGTAAAACAAAACCTTAGAACATTTTCTGAGTCTCAAGACTCCCCAAAAAGATTTAGATTATAAATGGCAACCCAAGAGACTTCTTATTTAATTAAGCCCTAAAAAGGAACACTTGCCTTAGTTGGCATGGCTCAGTGGAGTGAGTGCCAGCCTGTGAACCAAAAGGTCTCTGGTTCAATTCCTGGTCGGGGCACATGCCTGGGTTGCAGGCCAGGCCTCCAGCTGGGGGTGTGCGAGAGGCCACCAATAGATGTATCTCTTGTACATAGATGTTTCTCTCCCTCTCTTTCTCCCTCCCTTCCCTTCTCTCTAAATAAATAAAATTTAAAAAGGCACGCTTCATGGATTGAATTAAATATCAGAAATTCTCATTCAGGGGCTTCTGTTTTTCCTGCATAGTCTGAACTTTTACTGTTAAATTATACAAAACATTAAGGTCCCCACATTTGCAGAATGTGTGTCCATTGTAGTCCAAGCATCTGAGTACATCCATTTCAAAATACCCTCCTTATTTTAAAATTACACATTTTAGAAATACATTTGAAGGTATGTGGATAGAAAAAGACATCTTTTATACATAATAGTGTGCTGTCAGGTTACTCCCTGATAATCAGCTTCAAAAAGTCGAGAGGCGGGAATCAGTGATGGAGGGAAAAATAGATGACACGGTTGTTTACAATGAACCGTGAGGCTGAATCTGCAGGCGTTTCAGCGTAAATTGAGCGCCACGACATAATTGTTACTTTCTGAGAACCTGACATTCCTTCAGGGGCACATGAAAACCCCAAAGCACAGATAATGAAAAAGTGCTTTTCTAATTTTGTACACTAATGCCTTCGTTCACATTTTTCTTCCCCTCTAATTATAGAAATAACTCTTTGTGCTTTGAAAATGGTACCTTTTGACAATTATGATGCTGAAGATGATTTAAATTCTGGATAAAGTGCTGCCGAACAAAAGCCCTGTGCAAAGCGTCTTCCTGCATGGAGTTCTGACTCCGTGCAGGCCCCTCACCGGCTGACCCCACGATTGGCTTTTCCTTTCATAGGAATCTACACCTCCTTTCACTGTCACTCTTGCAAACTGTGTGAGAGAAACAAGCCTTCCTGATGTAGACCAACAACTGAAAATCAAATCATCTCACAGCCATACCAGACAAGAAACTATTTTTTTAAGGTATGTATGTTCACATAAGATGCAAAGCTTGGAAAAGCTTATAGGACTTGTGATCAAATAGTCTCTTGCTTTGGGGATCTCTCCATTCGTGAAGAACACCCTCCCCTCTCCCACAAATGTATGGATATACCTGTAAGGAACCCCCTGGGAGTATGTATGGCAGAATCAAGGAACTCACATTGTTATGAAAAAAATTAAACCAAGAGATATTTTACAGTAGTTAGGAGTTTGGAGACAGCAGCAATTGCTACCATTTATTCAACAACTAGCTATTTCTCGGTACTTTTCACATATTATCCCTAATTGCTCTCAAAACAAGAATTACTAGCTTCGTTCTTTAGCTGAAGAAAATTTCCTAAATTTCAGCTTCCAGGAGCATGAAATGGAAGTAATATCACCTCTCAGCTGCAGCCAGTGCTCCACGGGACCTTGTATCCTGCCCAAGGTCACTCGGCCACTATGTGGTGGAGCCGAGGTTTGAAGTCAGGTCCCTCTGGCCCATGAGCCTGTCCTCTTGCAAATGCCAAGATGCCCTTCATTAACTAACAGATAAATGGACACCGCTCATTTTTTGGGTGAATAAAAATAAATATAACAAAATAAAAAATGTTTTTATCACTCTTTTTCACACTGTATAATTATTTGTCTGTGTCTACAATAGTTCCATTCCATCTTGATTTTTTTTAAGTACTGGAAGCACTCAAGGTTCTAGTAAGAAGTATAGTATAAAGGTTCTAGCCCATCTTAATTTTTTTAAAGCACTGAAGTGTACAGAAATAGAAAAGGCTTGGGCTCTGGAGTCAGAAAACTCTGTGATCTAGTTCTAGTCTGATTATTGTCACTGCAGCCTGTGGCCAGATTTTTAACCTGGCTCAGCATTAATTTTGTCACCTGGAAAATTGAAATCACACTGCCGACATCATTATGGGGTGATTATTCTGAGAATTAAATGAGATATAATTTGTAGTTGGTTCTCACTCCATCACAGCACCTCACCTCTTGATCCTATCATCAGAATTTCACTCCATACGAGTTCATTTTGTCATGACACCTTTAATCTAGCCTGGACGTGTATAAGAAAGATTAAAAATAACTATTATTACTAGCAAGTCTTATAAAACTAGTCCCCAATAAATTATCATTGTCATCACTAAGAACACTATTGGTATAGGAAATACATACATCTGTATTTTTCTTCTAAAAGACCTTTAGAGAGAGACATCAATCCAATCTTCAGACTCTGCACTCTAATTTTTCCAGTCCGACCCCTGAAATTATAAGAATCTCAATGTATTACATGAATTTAAAACAGTATGTAAAATATTTCTGAATATCTAGTTTCTTGAGGGTAAACCATTAAAAAATAATTGCATCATAAATATAACTTTACTATTCATGCTTAAAAATTAATGTTAAACCCACACCATAATTCATGACATATTTTAATAGTATGTTTGACCTAGTCTGGGAGAACATACAGCCTGAGGTCACTTTACATACAACATATGAACTAGGAAGAACAAACTAAGGCAAAATAAAAACTTTGATTATAAAACTGAAAAGATTTCATTTTTATAAATACTATGAATTAAAATCTATTTGTTAATCATTATAAATGCAAGATTCAAAATAGATACATATAATATGCATGTAAGCTAATTCAGCAAGATGTATCTAAGATCAAAAGTAAGAAAACTGACTAAAAAATTAACTGTATACTAAGGGCTGATATCTGCCGAATGCTTAAAAATGTATTCTATTTATTAATGTAGGCTCTCTGTCAATGCAGTTTTTATGTTACTGTTGAAAATGTACACTAGTTAGTGATTTTAGACAGATGCGAAATCTGTTTGGGGAATACTAAATTATAATTAAGTACAAAATGCATAAATTAGTCAATGTGAGGAAACAGCACTTCTTTTAGCTTTATACTATGCCAATGACAGACCCTGTCAATTTCACTTATAACCAGAATGGAAGAAAAACTTTATCTTTAAAGCAGAAAGTTGTCTTCATTCCACCATTTACCAAAGAATTACTGAACTGTCTACCAAGTGTTAGTCACTATACTAGATCCTAGGGATAAGAAAAGGTAAATGCAGAAAATACAAAAATTAAAAATATTATGATCCTTGCTATGGAACCACACACAGTCAAGAAAAAAGTCTTTATTGCTACCTTTATTATTTCAATATCCAGAATTAGTTTTCAATTTAAATTTTTTTTTAAGTATGTCAAGGACACCAGGACCAATGATCACTAGCTGTCCAGGTACCAAAAAATTATGCTTCCAAAATCTCTTGATGTCGATTCCGCACGTAGAGCAATCAAGCTGCCCTGCGTGAGCCACTCACGACAGAAGCCCTTTCTCAGTTTAAATTTTTATTGTTAATTTTCTTAAAATATGTTTTCAATTTACAAGTGGGACACACTTAAAACCTATAAACAAACTTTTACATAATTATATGAATGCATAAAATTTAGTCATTCATGCTGTTTAAAAAACAGGTAAGTATTTATATTATGGAACTTTAATTTTGAGTAGTCTTATTGTCAAAATGAATTTAAATCTTGATCTTATTGGTATTTTTATACTATTAATAGTAATTTATATCTTCTAGTCTCAAATTATAAGTACTCAGGTAAGTTTCTGTATATATACCATGACATATAAACTAGAAATTAAATTAAAAAGCAAAATGTGTTTAGGAATTGTAAAATGTATTTTTAAAACAGTGGCCCAGAGTCTGTATCTATGTTAAATCATATCCAAAACATTTCTTGAACCTTACTGTGTACATGCACAACATTCAGAAATGACCTATGAAATGAGTAGTACTTGCATTTAAAAATATAGCTATTTAAGCAGAATTCCTAAATTAACATTTATTCCAGTTTCTCACAATTATAGAAATACTAGCTTCAAAATAACCATAAACACCAAGCTATGCTAGAAGTATTGTTTCTACTTCATATTTTTTAGGCATTTCCTAATAGACAATGTCTGTTTTCTTTCTTCCAGAAATCAAGAAATTTTATTCTCTGTATACAATCAGAGCACAGACTTGTAGAAGATAACAAAAGGCTGTGTGAATAGATTCGTACATGAATATGGCCGAGGACAAAGCAATCCCATAAAGGAAAAAAAGATCAAAATGATAGGCATTAGAGGATGACCTCCAGTCTGTGGTGTCAACATAAGAAAAGAACCTCATCAGGAAGACTTCGGAAAATGTCAATCATTCATTCATCATACCATCCGCAGTTATGAAAGCTTCCTACGACCCCAGCATTGCTCTACACGCTGTGGGGACCAATAGAAAAGTACAGACACGATTCCTACCCATGATATGCTCCCACACTAGCTGGGGAAGTGAGCCAAGAAAACTAGAGAATCATAAGAAAACAGGAAATCAACCTTTATGCAGGAAAATAATTAAGTACAAGATCACTGTGGCTGACTAATGATAGGTGATTAGTTTGAATATTCCTTAGTCTGACAATATTTAATACAGAGGATAAGTTGGACATTGCAGGCATGACATGGCTCACCTGTCCTGACCAAGAGAAAGTCAGTATCATAGGAAAAGCATAGGCAAGGGAATAGAGGGAAGCACGTGAGCACCAGTGACAAGACTCATTCAGGTGGCAAGGACTGACATCAAGGCTAAGTTGTTGATAAAGTTGTCTAGGTGACATGGGGAGGAGGACTTTGATGTTAAAAAAAGGTATTTGAATTCGAGAGACAATAGAGAGATAATGAATTTTATTATTGAATGACATAACCCAATACTTAAGTATCTGGCTCCCTGAGAATTTTCAGAATGAACTCCTGACATTAGTTTAACTGGAAAGAGATGCACCTTAGTAAATTACATCCATCTTGGAAAAGTGGAAAAATGACCTCCCACTACAGCAAGTGAGGTTAATATTTTCTGTAGAAACAAAAGAATTTGAACCACATATTCTAGACTATTGCTTTAAATCATGAATTAAGTAATTTCAATTTCTAATAATTCTAGAAGGAAGATTATGGAATTAAGATCTTTTACCCTGGGAAGATAAAAATTGAGGGAGGCTGTGAACTCTCAGAAAATGAATCAATTTCCTCTTTATTTCCTATAAAGACCTTTCTACATATTAGTTTATTTGCCCTTCATAGTCATCTTTGTGTGGTAAACCAACTAGATATTTGATCTCAGTTTTTCTAATGAGAAATTAAGATGTCAAAAGTGAAGTGACTAACAAATCACACAGCAACCAGAACCAAATATTTGGATCCCTGTTATTCACAACAGAAGAAAACAGATTTTTTTAAACAAAATTTAGAATATTAGGAGAAGTGCAATACATGTTAAAACTTTAAAAAAAGCAGAAAACTTAAAATAGCACTTTATAAAGTGCTATGTTATTCTTAGCTATGGTAAGAATAATCAAGTAATTATCAACCAATCTGAATATTAGTGCCATATCTACCACTAGTATGCAATGGGTAGCCAAAAATAAGTTCTCTTGTCTCATGGGGTAGTTTATCAATCAGTAAAATGAAGAGGGAAAAATGGTAGATCCTCAAATCTTACGTCTAGAATTCTATGGTTTGTACGCACATCACTCATTATCTCAAGAGATGGCTGAATATACTTCAAGAACTGCAAATGCCAGCTCTGGCTGCATCGTAGTACACAAAGTAAGGCTGCCAAAAATATATGGTTAATGAATGAAAGGCAGATAGCTGAATGAATGAAAGAGTTAGATCATGGTACCATTTCCAATGTTCATAGACTTCTTAGGAGTCTGTTTTTTTTTCTGGTGCATTGGAAGCAACAGATTATAGTTTCTACCAGATCTTCAGAGGGCTTGAAATGAGTTAAACATTCTTGTTTAGATAAATGAATAAGTCATAGTTATTAGAGAAATCTGGGCTATCAACTCTGGCCATCTGACTCAAGAATAAATGACTGTTTTTTCGTAAGTTTAGAGCATGATATTTCTCTCCAAGACAGAAAACTACAGAGCATAGACATTGTTCTGACCCAGCATGGTCTTTGCTATATTTCTTTGACATGAAACGGAGATGCATCCTAAAATCTTTTTGCCCCTTAAAATGAAAAATTTCAAGATACTGTCCTTCTAAGTTAAAAAAAATAGTAGAATTTCCCATGTGTTCTCATTTGATGGTGGAAACCAGAAATATACGCAGATGTAACTCCCTGGAATATGAATCACAACACGTCACATACTGCTTCCCTTCCACCTAAGCAGCACTACTCCCTTTAGGCTGCCCAGTGAAGAGGGTGCACATATATGTATGACATTCAGCCTATGGGTTGAATTACATCTTCCTACAATTCATATGTTGGAATCCTAACTCCCTGTACCTCTGGATGCAACTGTATTTGGAGATAGGATCTTGAAAGAGGTAATTAATTTAAAATGAGGTCATTAGAGTGGGCCCTAATCCCATTTGACTGGTGTCCTTATAAGAACAGGTAATTAGGACACAGACACACACAGAAGAAAGACCGTGTGAAGACACAGGGAGAAAACAGCCAAGTGTAACACAAGGAGAGAGGCCTCAGAAGAAACCAACCCTGCTGGCTACCTTGATCTTGGACTTCTAGACTCCAGAACTATGAGAAAATAAATTTCTGTTTAAGCCACTGAGTCCATGAAATTTTGTTACAGCAGCCCTAGCAAACTAATGCAGTGTGTTAAAGCCACAAACAATGATGAGGGTGTCATTTGACATCTCCCCCAGTTTTGCCTTTGAATATGGTTCAGGATGTGCCTGCCCCTCTATCTTATCCACAGGGCTTAATGAAATTCCTAAGTATTCTATGGATTTAGCACTCTTCCTGAGATCCTGAAAGTTACAGGTTTTGTAGTTAAAATATCTAACCAACCAGGTATTCTGGTGAATTTACTAGAGAAAATGTTTCTTCTGGAGGTTTAAAAAATTGAAAATCAACTTAATAGTGAATAATTGCTAACAGTTTTATTTTACCATAGGAAGACAGAATGCAGTACAATGAAATGTATTAAAATATGTCAGATAGGGACTAGTAAATCCTACATTCATTATGATAATTGAGATTCATGTGATCTGTTCTCAGGGAATTTCTTAAGAACCCTCAAGCATACAAAGGCTATTTGCTTATTTTTTAAAAATCTTTACAATATTTGTGAATATTGAAAAAGATTGTTCTAATCAAAAGTGTAAACACAATTTTAATTAAATCATGTCTAAAGCTATCAACAGCATTTACTTACACAGAATCAGCTGCTAAATGTATGCATTTATGAACTATCATTTATCTTCTTTTTCTCTAAATCAAATGAAAGAATGATAAACAAAATTTTCATACCGCTAATTAATGGAAAATAACTTTTAGGGACTGAGAGAAAAACACCAGTTCTAATTTTCTTATTTCATCTTTGCGTATTTTAACCCCCTACCAGAAGAATGAATAATTCCTAATGTTTTAGAAATGTCAGCCCACAGCAGGAAGTCTTTCTAAAATTATTTCACAAATGCATTGTCACATTCAAAAAAAGTCAATTGAGTTATGCTGGAAGTTTACAGTGCTCTTCATGAACAGTGAGTGCCTAACTAAATTACAGACATTAGTGCCCTATAGTGTAAATTACTTAAAACATCACATATATACATAAACAACCACCACTGCAATAAGAAAAGCTAATACCAAAGGAGACATTAAATGCCTTTAACTGCAATTGCCATTCAGGTTGCTCTTAAGTTGTCACACAAAAATCACAGAGTGGAATATTATAAGCCAATACATTATTTTAACTCATAACAGTAACTACAGAATATTATCTTTTGGAAAAAAATACTGTAAGAAATTCCAGAGGGAGAAGAAAATCAAACTTATTTAGATTAGGTTTTCCCTAGCATGGTGACAAAAAAATTGTACAAGTTTCACAGCTTTAGTAATTAAAGCAACATCTTTAAATAATGAATAGTATTATTCATTATTTAATGATGAATTCAATTCATTCATTAATAATGAATGAATGAATGAATGAATGAATAGGCTGAATGTAGAGCTCCTTGCCCCTAGTTACGGAGTAGTTACATTTATACAGTCCTCAAATTACATTTGGCCCTTTGAAGGCAACCTCAAGGCTGATGTGGCCCCCAGTGAAAATAAGTTTGACACCCCTGGAATAGACATTTGTTTTTTTTTTAATTTTTGGTTAATTGCTCATTATTTAGAAAGTCATTCATTTTCAACAATTAGCATAAATATTTCCACTGGATAAAGTACTTTGAAAGTAAACTGACAGTGAAAAGAGGGAAGGGAGCAGGGAGAAAACAGGGTAAAGAAGGGAAGGGTCAAGTCAAGGTATAAGCACAAAGGACCCATGGTCAAGGACAATGGGGTGGGGATTGTCTTTGGGAGTGGGGGTTGGAAGGGGCAGGGGAGAGCAACGGGGGGGGGGGGGAGGGAAACGGGCACAACTGTAACTGAACAAGAATTAAAAAATTCACTTTAAAAAGTTACATATTTTGTATTATCATATTTCGTTCTATAACTGTATTTCAATGAGAATAAAAACTTACGTGTCATATACATTGAGCAACCAGTTGAGACACATATCCACACAGAGAGGAACATTGACCAGATCCTTGTGCATTTGCTCGAGGCCATCGTAAGTTGTCGTCAGGCAGTTGATGACATCTGGGACACTGAGGAGCTGATCATTTTGGTTCAGCTTGTGCTGTTTGAAAACTTCATTTGTTGTATTCAACTCTAAGAGATCCACTAATCAGGTGAGAAACAGAAATATGTAGAGTCATTACATTCTATAACAACTCTAAAAGAATCTATCCTTTTAGCTAATTTGAGTTTTTAAAGTAACAAACAACATTTCCATTCTTGCATTGCTAACCTCTTCTTTTATCCACATTTCCATGCTTTTGAATCAGAGTTTTCACTTTCCAGTACGATACCATTTTTTACTCTTTGGAATATCAATTTTTCCTGCTTTCCTTGTCTGGCTTTCTCCTCTCCAAGCTCTTCCTACTTTTAAATACTGGAAGGCATAAATCTCTGAATCTGCTCCAAATGGTAGCGAGTCCTAGATGTTACATGCTTTCCTTCTCTTAATTCCTGAGAACAGCCTGCTCACCACCCTCCCAATTCATCCTTTCTATAACTGGCAAACTAATCATTCTTAACAATTTCTTGACATATACAGTGTGAGATACAAAGTTGTTCAATTCAAAAAAAGAAAAAAACAGCTTTATATTATGCAAAACACCATGAAGATTCCTCAAAATATTAAGAATAGAATTACCATATGACCCAGCAGTTCTTCTAGGTACTTATCCAAAGATTATAAAACTCTAATAAAAAATATAGATGTACCCTTGTGTTTATTACAACATTATTCACAATTGCCAAGATACGGAAACAACCTACGTGATGATCGACAGATGAATGAACAAAGACAATCTGGTGTATGTACCTATATAACATGGAATACCACACAGCCATACAAAGATGAAACATTGCCATTAGTAACATAAATGAATTTTGACATTATTGTGCTAAGAGATGTAAGTTGAAAGGAAAGGGATAACAACTATAGAATTTTACTCATACACAGAATATAGAACAAAAAGGAAACAAGTGAACAACAACAAAAAACAGAAACAAAATCGTAGATACAGACAACAGATTGGTGGTTACAAGAGGGAAATGAAGGTGGGGTAGGGCAACATGGGTCAATAGGGTCAACTATACGGTGACCCAGATATATGGGGATGCTAGAGTATATACAGATACTGAGTTATAATGTTCTATACCTGAAACTTACATAATGTTATACAAGTCACCTCCACAAAAATTTAAAAAACAAATGAGCTCTGTAGAAAAATAATAGTTCTCCACTGCCCACTGAATGAAGCCTGATCTATACAGGTCCTCACAGTCTGGGCCTAACTTCGTCTATTTCCCATGATGCTTTGGCATGGAGGCAACCTGCAGCTAGACAGAACTGGTGGAGGTTTGCAGGAAAGGCCTCCCGTGCACAGGTCTTCACGCACTTGCTCCCACCCTTACTCTTCATGGGTAGGACCTCTCCACTGGGCTCGGCTGGTGCTAAAGCACAGAGAGTGAGCAGAGAAGGATGAGGCAGAGCCCATGCTCTCGAAGGTGGCAAGTCTGGGAAGGAGGACAAGCAGACTGAGCCCTTTCCCAAAAGGAGAAGTGAAAGCACCGCAAGGAAAGAATGCATCCATTTCTGAGAGCCATCCCTGCTAAGGGAATGGAAGGACAACTGGAAAAGGATCCCTGGGAAGGTGGGTATGAAAAGGGGCCTTAAAAAATAGAGAAGGTACAAGAGATCATGTAAGAACTCCAGAAGGGCAGAACTACTCCCGAGGGCTCTAAGGAATGACCAGAGGCATTTTTGACAGTTGATTAAAATGAACAGCTTCCTTTGTGTTTCCCTGTTTTCAGTTAGGTAATGAATGACTCAACGTGGATTTAAAAGAAAGATTATGTAGACACAAATGAAAAAACTCACATAATCTTTCTTTTAAATCTGTGTTGAGTCATTCATTATCTGAGAGCAGGGAAACATACATTATCGAATTACCATGTAATTTATATATTTATTAAGTATGGGGATGACTCCTCTAATTCTAAACATATGGGTTTATAAAATTACAGATTTTAGGTCTGCCCATGGAAAGTACTGCTTTATAAAATTCTTCCCCTATCTCCATATTTAACATTTAAGATTTTTTAAAAAATCAGCTCAAGGGAATTTAAAAATAATATATATATCTCCAACTAATTTCTCTTTGCCAGATTCATAACTGTTCCCTCAGAAAATATGACATTTTTGACAGTCAACTAAAATGAACAGCTTCCTTCGTATTTACCTATTTTTGTTCCTGTCAAGAAGGTGGTGTGCTGGTCCTCACACGGTTTGAGGGAGCCACATCTCACACAAGAGCGTGAAGACCCCATCATCATGTAGATGAAGTACAAAAGAATCATTTCTACCTATTTTTAACTATGGAGCAACCATTCATTTTGAATTTTTTAAGACATTCATGAAATGTGTCCATTCTAGCTGCTCAGACACCGCAGAATGATTTATTTTTTCAAGTTAGCTACAATGGGAAAGAACTCCTTTAAAATTACACAGATTAAAATTATTTCTAAACAACGAATTTTTCAAAAATAGAGAAAAATATAAAACACACAACTCTGGATAACAAGTCAATCCAGATGACACCATTTCCTTCAGATGTCAAATATATTGTTGACCAAACTTCAGCTAATGTATAAAATAACTGTGTAAGGTCTACATGAGTTACAGACGGCAACCAAAAAAAAAAAAAAAAGGCCAAAAAGTGGGAACCATCTGAAATTTTCATTGTCATATTTCCTGGCCATTACACTGTTTTCAATGATAAACTCCCAGAGGGCAGGTGCAAAACTGAGATTCACTCTTAACAGTGTGTGATAAAAGGAACCGCTCAATGATGGCAGTAGTTGCTACAGAACTATGACTCCACACAGATACAAAGAGACACATTCTGGGTGGGTGGGCTGGGATGGGAGTAAAAGATAGAAAATTGTACTTGAACAACAATAAAAAAATTTTAAAAATTAGTAAAAATAAATATCTCTTGGGAAAAAAAGAAACACATTCAGAGACTGCCAACACGCTCTGAGTTCCTGAGTTTTGGCATTAACTGCACCAGCAACACAGCAGTGTTACCGTGTCCCCACTCCGCACGTGGCGTAAAGTGACAACAGACCAAATTCCAAAAAGACCGTTTTCTGGGTGAGGGTGCTTTTACAGTTCTTCCAGAGAAGCCCTCTGTCACACACATTGTAAATATGGCAGTAATTTGCCGCATCCCACAGACAATCATGTCTTCGATTTTCAGTGATTTACTCTGACACTTTGCCTTAGTGCCTAAGCAAGGCATGCATCTTCCTGAAGGGTGTCCCATTTAGGTACCTTTAAAATGGACTACATTTAGATCACAGAAAAATTAGGATCTCCTCCTCTCAAAGGCAGACAAATGACAGCTCAGTCATGTGGCAAATGAAACAAATAGCAGAATCATTTTCTACCCATTTTTTTTCTTTAACCCCACATAGGAGGCACAGGCAGTCAAATGAAAATGGATCATCACTCTCCTCTGTAAAAATGCCCACTGTACATAGCGCCCGACCCTGGACTTCTGTGGCTCTTCTGTCTCCAGCTGCTTGACCACTGCTGATGGCAACTTTCCCGTCTCCTCTTTCCCAGGCATCAACGAAACAACGAAACATAGGAGGTTATCAAGACCTTGTATCTATAAACCTCACTCGCTTTCATGGTCACTTCTCGCTGGGTGACTCCAGATTCCGTTTTCTCCTGCCTGCACCCCTGATCCACATTCCCGCTGCTCTGTTCCCCACCAGAGCTACACTCTTCTCATTCAGGAACTACCACCTTGATAGGTTCAAAATTTACCATCTTGCCTTGCTATGCTGAAATCCAGTACTGGTGTTGCGCCTTCCGCAGATCATCAGTCTGCAAACCCTGAGCTATCCTAACACTCTCCTTCTTCTACCCTCTGCAGTGTATGAACCACAAGATTCCCCAGGCATCAGTTCCGTCTCCTCTTCACAAATCCGTACCCTCATCTCCCCTCCCGTGACTGGCAGCCAGCTCAGCCTCCATCATCTTTCACCTGAAATGCTTTCTTGTCCTCTGCTCCCTCCGTCCTTTGATCTGTCCTAGAGATTGTGTCCAAAGCATACAGCCACCACCGGCCCTGTCCTCTAAATTCCACAAAATAGAAAATGGCTCCACAGTACTCTGCTCCACACACACAAAATTCTGAACACTGAATGCAACAATGGGAAACCCTGAGGAACAAAAACTCTAAAAAATCAGAAAAGGTTTTCTTTTTTTAAAAAAAGACCAAACTGGACTTACACTGATTTTAAGGGCATGTCTGAATACTGGACAAACAGCTCATTAGCAATTCCATTTAGACCCCATTACTAGCTGACGTCCCCTGAACTCCATCTAGGCCTTTGAACATCATGCATATGATTCCCTTCCCCTTCCCCTTGATTAGCTGCCTGCCTAAACCCTGTGTGGCTGCTAGCTTTGGCCAACGTGCCTCCTACTCAGGGAAGCTTACTTTGCTCTTCACGATGAAGAGGATCCCTCTCTCCCTCCTCTGACAACACTTCCCTTTGGATTCTCTGTTATTGCCTATTGCATAAAGCTTTTTAAAACTGAAATACAAAAGAATATGGATAACACATATGTGTAGCCTGAAGAAAAATAATAGAGCAAGCATGCATTAATCTATCACACAGCTGAAGAAATAGACCGCTATGAATATCTATCTTGCAAGCCCCTAGGGAAGCCTCCTTAATGAATCCCCTCGCATTCAAAGGAGAAGCACTAACCATTTTAGTTTACTTTCAGTACATGGGTCCCTCAATAACACAGCATTTAGCTGTGCATGGCTTCAAACTATATCTAAGCGAAGAAGAGCTATGTGGATTTCTTCTGCTACTTGATTTTTTTTTCATTCACCTTTATAGTTCTGAGAATCATCCATGTTCATGCTGATTACTCGTTCACTTATTTTTTGCTGTTGTGTCATATCGCATTGATGAGTACGCCAAAATTAAACAAATTTTACTATTACAAAGTACAACTATACATCTTCTTATACATTTTTCTGTTGTACTCCTATGACTTTCAAACTGAAATCATTTACTCAATCTGTCCTAGCAGACGGCTCTATGCCAGCATTTGCATGAGGTCCAAAGTGGAGAAGAAAACAGACTCATCCCTCACATGAAAGCTTAGCTCATTGGGAGAGACAGACCGTAAATAAACAGAATACCATGCACTGTGACAAGTGCCACGTAAGAACTAAATCTATGAGATGGAATATCAGGGTGACTTATTTTGAGTAAAGTAGCCAAGAAAGCCTCATTAATCCAGGAGATAGTGAAATTAGGACCTCAAGGAAGAGAACACACCTGCCACGGGAAAAGGATAAGCACGAGGAGCTAGGACGGGGGCTCTTCAGGCAGGAGGAACAGAATCCAGAGCTGGCCCCTTCTGCTGTCCCCCAGAACTGATAAAAGCCCATCATGGAGCACAGACCATGGGGTGGACAGAGAGAGAAGCCAAGGCAAAGGCCACTTCACTCAAGGGCAACAGGACTCTGTTGTAAGTAGGAGAGCTGTGTCCACATGTAATATGCTCTTTCCAAACTTAAGTTCCTTGAGTGTGGGAACTGAGTCTCCTTATTTCGCCTTATCTCCTACACAATCTTGGAGCCCAATAACTGAATGAACAGTGACAGAAATGATGGTGCACCCTCTGCATTAGGACATTATGGAGGGTGGAGATGTACACAAACGAAAAGACTACCCTTGACCTACAGCAGTTCTCAGTGAAGCCGGGGCAATCGCCCTGATGTCATTTATTGCGCAAAGGCACACATCCGGCACTTGCGGGAGACACAGTCACATGAGGCCATCATAAAGTTCTGAAAAACCTGGTGGCAGGTGGAATTGGCTTGTAAATGTTTCCAAAAGAAGTAAATTTTTAACAGTATTTGGGAGGAAGAAAGAGTTACAGACGATTGCCGGGGGAGGGTCAGGCGACAGAAGGGATGGGAAAGGAAGGAGCAGACTAATGGCTAACAGGCGAGTCTGACGAGTGGCCGGGGGTCCCAGGCTGGAGAGCAGGGGCAGCCGGGGGGCCCAGGCTGGAGAGCAGGGGTGGCGGAGCGCGGGAAGGTAGAGGCCAGGCGGCTGTCAGCGCATCACCCCGAATACTTATAACTCAGCGCAACCCGGCACTTTTCTAAGTGTGTGTTACTAAATGCCGTTCACTAAATGCCATGTATAAGTGGGAGGCGTCGCTCTTCTGCTCCTCTCCTCTCACGTTTGAAGAAATGAACAGAACATTCATTTTTATTTGGAGTAAAAAAAAAAAGCTCAACAGAATAAAACAACACTAACTATTAAGGCTTACCGACCCAGAAGGATTAGCGAAAACTGGGGCCATATTCATAATGAACATGAACAAGGCAGTCTTCTGTCAACTGAGATCCTGTGGCTGAGTCATCTGTCCTCATTTTATAGCTCATCGGGCCTGAGAGGACCTTCCTGATCTGTCAGCTGGATGCTGGACATGCAGCTGAGCCTCTTTCAAAACCGTGGTCACCACGAACTCACTGAGCTCAGAACATCTCTTTTGTGTGCTCCTAATTCACTTCCGATTTCCTTCTGCCTCAACAGACAGACAGCCAGCCAGAGTGCTGGTGCGTGTGTGTGTGTGTGTGTGTGCGCACTCACGCATGCATGCTGGTAATTGGGCAAGGCTTGCTGTCATCACAACCTGCCAATCATCTGGGGCTCGAGGATTACGGGCAGCAGGTCATCTCACCGTTTCTTCTACCACCTAATCCAAAGGTGTTTTCGAGCCCTTTGTGGGCTTTGCTTCCACATACAGCTTGGGTTTTTCTCATTTTAAAGCTACGTGCGGCTGTATTTTCTCTGAGTGATTCTGCACTGTCTTTCCTCAACTCTGCTCATGTAAGCAGCTTAAAATGTATTCCTAATTTCTACTGACTTTTAAGGAGCAGATTTTAACTGTAACATATTATTCTCAAGGTTATTGTCAAAACTTTACTGAGCTGCCTAGATATACAATAACAGTTTACAAAAGGCTGCAAATAAGAATGGTTGGAATGATTCAAATTACCCTCTTAAAAGTATAGGCAAATGTCGCTTCCATATATTAACTATCTGATAAGACCTAAATGTTCTTTGAATAGACTCAGTCATTAAAACTGCAACCACAAATTGAATTCAGACAGCTTAAATCCATACTCTATAAAAGCATTATATTTCTATACTCCTACTTAAAGTTCAGTTATTTGAGGGGACTAACCCTTTAATAAAATGATTATCACAGCAATCACTGGACATAATCTCTGTAGGAAACGTTCATACTGATAATACTGAGTGTCTCAAGGCATATATAAGTGAACACAGAAACTTTTATCCAATTTTCTAAGATGACAGTAAAAATATGGATCAGGAACATGGTGTTTTTTAGTGTTTATTATATGATTGTATTGAATGAAACTGTTTTGAACCTTATACTTCCAAATACATACAAAGTATTAAAAAGGCAACCAATGGGCACGTATGTATGTATGTATGTATGTATAGATATATAGACCATATATATGAGATATATATATATATATATATACACACTTTGCTTGCTTTATTCCTTTTAAATTGGGTGGCAGCATACTCTTTGAAAAAGACTTCTACGTTACTGCTGTGTTTTGGTTAATTTTGTTCTCCAACTGCGAAGGGCATATGTTCGTTTGTTTTCCCACTGCACGCACGCTGACGGGGCAAATGATAGAGCATTTATGGAATCACAGCCAACTCTGAGTGAGATACACTGAAAATCAGATTAATTCTACAAACACACCACCCCCTTCATTTATCTGTGTCTTAAAAAAAAAAAAAAGGCACTCCAGAGAACAGAGCGATCAACTTCGGTATCATGACTCACAGCACAGTGCTTTCTGGAGTCGTCGGATTTTGATGGCTGTCCGGTAGGCAGAGAACCGTACGTTATTCAGGTCAGCTGCAGGGGCAAGAGGACACATTCAGAAGCATGCTTAGTACTTATGTGGAATGGCAAGAAGGGATTTGGTTACTTCAGATGTCTATTCACATTAAAAAGTCTTCTCCGAAAATCCACATGACGTTTTCAGGAACATCACTAAACGTTCATTAGCACCATGGGGAGATGCAACCCAAGGCGTTGCCACACCAAAAGTTCCAGGAAAGGAAGAGGAAGGGAAGGAGGACAAGGATACCCTCCTGGCCTGTGCACTGTCCATGGCTTAGTAAAGACACGGCATTGTGGAGGGCCCTGCTCTGTGCAGCTAAGAGGGACTCACCCCCAGGGCATCTTCCCCGAGGACAACCGGTTCTCGGCCACCAGGCTGTCCATCTCACTCCTCAGGAAGTTTCTATAGTCCTCCGTTCTGATCTATTTGCTTCCTCTGCCCTTTCATAGACCTGGTCGCAATTATCCTACAGTCAATATTTAAACCTTTGGGAATAATAGATATTGCAAATCTTTTCTCTGTCCCCTAAAGATAGACTAGCAGTGTTAGACACTAGGGGAGGGAGAAGAAAACTCAGAAATCATCAAAATTTGGCCTCCCCTTTTGCAAACCAGCGGCTTTTCTCTCATTCATTCAACCTTTCAAGCCACCCTCACTCACTCAAATGCAAGTTCACGAAGGAGGCTGATATTTAAAGAGATAAAATGGGGTGCTCCCCATTGTTGAAATAGGAGGGGATGGGAGAGCCTTAGGGTGCTCTCCATCTGCAGTAGCACCTTTGCTCCCACAAGAGAAAACTCTTTCAAAAATGGCTGGACCAACCAAGGAAGCCGTACGTGTGTGTGTGTGTGTGTGTGTGTGTGTGTGTGTGTGTAGTCACAGTCATATTCTACTGGAAATCCACAAGATCAGAATTCTCATCTCATGAGTTTTCTAGCATTTTTACAATAAAATGAATTTAGCTCTTCATCTCTTCTTAGAATAAATGAAATTAAGCTCGCTAACTTAATAAGATTTATTAAATAAAGAGTGAGCTAAGAGCAGGTTTAAAAGCAGTGGATTAGAGACTGCTGTATTATAATTGTTTTAGTTTTTTTATTTTCCACACAAAATTGGAGAGTAAAATGACCCCATATTAGGGAGGTAAAACCTCTAATTATATTCCTCCTTTTAAAATCTTGCTTTTTTTGGATCACACTATTTCAAACCTTACATCTTCTTAAGAAGAAAGGTAAAATCTGTCTACTTCATTGTCCTTAGAAATTCAACTGCTTTTATACATCATTGTCATGATCCTTTAAACACAACACGCCACAGGAAAAAACAAAGCTGATGATTAGTTTTCATTTGAAAACATACCCTTTCTGTTTAAGTTAATTCATTACTATTAAGTACAACAATACTCACCAAGGGATTGAAAGAGTTCAGTCATTTTAGGATGATCCCAACAGGTTGTCTGTGTTTGATGGCTGGGGGGAAAAGTTAACAAATTTAAATAAAAGAATATGTACATGCCACAAGAATAATATATGCCATACAGCAAATACACAAAGAAAATTTCTGTTAAAATTTTTAAAAATGTGTGTAAAATTATCTCCAAGATGGATCACTCAGAAAGCTGGTGCCCAATCATCACTTAATAGTTGAAGTAATACTACATTTTTATTTGAGCAATTACATTGTAAAATTATAGATGAAAAATTTTTCTCTATCTATTTCAAAAAGAATTACAACTCAAAATTAAAACCTAGTTATAAAGTGTGAATGTCAGGAACCCCAGGGCATCACGTTCGATAAAGCCAGATCAACACGGGCTCCAGAATAATTCTACTCGTGCTAGGGGGATGCAGATTCTCATCCAGAACAAGTCCTCCAAGAGCAAAAGTGCCGTGAAAGTCGTTACCTTTAAAAGTCCTAATCAAATTTCTGAAGAATAGAGAAATGAAGAGTTTAACTCTGAATGACATCACCTCACAATCTACTGAGTCTCCCTCTTCTTCAACCTGAGCCTCTCCTTCCTCTTTTCCTCTGTGGGGGCCCACTCAGAACCCTAGAGTTGGGATAAGAATTATCTTAAGCTAAAGACATCTGAGATTCCACAGATGGAGAAAGACGCCTTCTCAGAGCTTCCTTTTTCTGACCAAAAGCAGCAACTCCTGGGAAAGAGGGCTACCATAAATCCCCTCTTTGGTGGGGAGTTTCATGGCCATAAAGAAGACAGAAAAACCACTTGCACCTGCATAAACAAACATTATCTCAAACTTTCTCATCTCATGTTTTTTCTCCTAAAAAAAAAAAGTCTTCCTAAAAAAACCCTACTGGTTTTTCCCATAGGAACATTTCTCCACATCCCTTTCCCCTACTGAGTTGGGTACATGAGTCCTAAGTTCAAATCTAACCACCCCTTTGAGTCACTCATCACTGAGCACTCCTTCACTCCTTCATGTATGTGCACTGCACATAAATTAACCTTTTCTTTTTTTTTTTAAGAAATTCCTTTCTTTTTTTTTTTTAAGATTTTATTTATTTATTTTTAGAGAGGGAAGGGAGGGAGAGAGAGAGAGAGAGAGAGAGAGAGAGAGAGAGAGAGAGACATCAATGTGCGGTTGCTGGGGGTTATAGCCTGCAACCCAGGCATGTACCCTGGCTGGGAATCGAACCTGGGACACTTTGGTTCCCAGCCCGCGCTCAATCCACTGAGCTACACCAGCCAGGGCTAACCTTTTCTTTTCTGTTGCTAATTTGTGTTTTGTCAGTTTGATTGCCAGGCCCTCAGAAACTGAACCTATGAAGGTAGAGCAAAAGTTGCTTTCTTCCCTGACACACTCTTGCCATTCTGACTTCATGACCCTCCCCCAGCCTCCCTCATTTAACCAGTATATTGGGTTTTTTAAAAAATACATAGATAGTAGCCCTGGCTGGTGTGGCTCAGTGGATTGAATACCGACATGCAAACCAAAGGGTTGTTGGTTCAATTCCCAGTCAGGGCACATGCCTGGGTTGCAGGCTAGGTTCCCACTGGGGCTGTGCGACAGACAACCATACATTGATGTTTCTTTCCCTCTCTTTCTCTCTCCCTTCTCTTCTCTCTATAAATAACTAAACAAACAAACAAACAATATAGATATTACACACATTTTTCTCATGAACTTTATTCTTCACTTTACAAACAAGGTTTATATTTTCTCTTATTCTATAGATTTCAAAACTAGCTCAAAGAATTAGAAGTCTTTGGGGGAATAAGATGGTAAAACAGATCAGTTTAATGCTGACACTAAGTCTCTTCCTTTTGTGTGTGTGTGTATGAGTTGACCAACTCTTAACATCAATGGGCCAATGGCCTTATATTTAAAAAGTTTACTGTCCCTTATCTGGGTCAGAATAGAGTAAGAACATTTTATAGGTCTCAAAAGACTTCTTGGATGACACTCAGTTCTTATAAAACTGTTTAGTAAGCTAAATGAAATGGCACAGTACACAAAGAGAAATATTAAAATATTCATACACTCAAATTTAAGAGAAATTTAAATCTATGTAATATATCAAGAGGTGGGGTATGTCACTGGAAAAAGCATATAATCACTGTCATGTACATACATGTAACAGAACTCCCAAATAACATGATTTACTTTTAAAAATATTAGCTTTATAACTGACTATGAAAAATATCCTGGAAATTCCAAAATCTCAAACAACATAACACACCTACAATGCGAAGATCTGTCTCAGTAAGAGCTGGAAAGTTGTCTGACTCCCTTACCTGTTTTTTGACACTAATACAAAAGCAAATTTTTCTACTTAGTGTTCTGCTACTTAATACCCACAAAACCATTCTACCCATTTACTATCTAAATTACTCCAAAGACCACGAAGAAACTACTGAAGTTGTTTTGTTACTGGTGGGCAGTCGGTTGGAGCCCAGGAAGTCTCCCTCACTGGCTGAGCTGGGCAGCAGGGGAAGGTTATTACACTAAGCATGCAAAAAGTCCTTATCCTTCCCCTCCAATGCCAGATTGGGGGTGGGACCAGGGGAAGGCAGGCACATGTGCCATAGGAGTAAAAATGGCAGCAGGGGTAGGTACTGGACCACAGATGCCTGTCGGTCTAACCTCGGGAAAGAACGGATTCATTGGGAGGTAGGCCCTCCTGAAGCTTGCGAAAGTGTGGGACGTTGGCTGGTCATTTTTGAGAAAGCACCTAGTCCACCCCACACCCAAGCTAATATGAACCCGGGGAGAACAAAGAAGGCTCCCTCTCTTGCTCGAGGCTCTTGATTTGCACTTGGACAGTGTACTACCCTGTTCTTTCCATGAGCCACATGGCCTAAACAGCCACGTGGCCATGGCCTCCAGGGGGAAGTCTCTCTTGCTTTCTGCCCACATGGTGATGCATTTGCTGGTGCATTCACACACTCTGTCCTGGGAGCATGTGGCCTTGTAGCTCTAGCAGCTGCATGGCCCGTGGCCTCCCAGTGGCCAGAACAAGCTAAGCTCCTGAACAACTGCTCAGCAGCTGCCTGCAGGCTCCAATGAACTGTACTTTAAATTGGAACAGGAACTCTGGGCAATGGTTTCTGTTTAGGTCTTGCTGAGGACCGCTGGACTCCACGGTTTTGTGTAGAAAGTGAGCATTGAGACAGGGGTCCACCCTTCTCCCAGGTCGCACAGCATCTGAATAAAACCTTTCTTTTTTCACCAGCATCTGTCTCACGAGTTTGGCTTTTGTGATGGCAGCCAGACAAATTGTCCCTTTTTGCTTGTTAATGGTTTCACCTGAAATTCTTACTACCGATAGTATGGCCCAGAGCTTGATAAAAATGCAGAATCTCGGACTCCTGCTCTTACTGTGTCAGAATCCTCATCTTAACAAAATCCCAGGGAATTAATATGCACATTTAGATTTGAGAAGCACTGACCTAAAAAGCTCCTAATGCATGACTGAAAGTGAAAAATTAAAACTTAAAAATAAATTCAATCTCTAAATTTCACTAATGAAACACCTTCTTCCCTATCATCAATGAGAATAAAAGAAGGATTTGCTGGATATTTAGTATAAATCAAACAATTTCATCATGGGCTCCCCGTGTACCAGTACACACTCGTTTTCTTGTCTCTTCTTTGGATTAATTTCAAGCCCCATGGACTACTTTCTAGAGACAGACAAGCCAGTCTAGAAGACCAAACCAAAGCTCAAGAGTCAAACAAAGCTATGTGCAATGCAGAGCCAAGCTTTACACTTAAACAACAAACATAAATAATTACACTTTCTCTAGAGTCACAAGCGTGGTGCTTTGGCCAACAACCCCTACGGAACCATGAGAAGAAAGCACCCTGGTGCAGTCAGGCAGTGGGCTGAGAATTCAGTAAGTGCACGGCTTGCTAACAGCTCCTTTTAGTGAAACCACTAGTAGGAGCTGAGGGAACACACACATTTGGCAAACAGATGGAGGGAGAGAAAAGGCATCCCCCTTTGTGAATTCAATACCAGTTGATTCATTAGGCAGAACTGCCAACACTGAAAATAAATACAGCCTCTGGTTACGAATGTATAACTGCAGCTCATCAAACAGCAGTTTAACAAAAAAGTGGTAGAGGCATTTGCCTGCTGATGGATTCTTTCTCATTCTCTGTCTCTGTCTCTGTCCGTCTCTGTCTGTCTCTCTCTCTTTCTCTCACTCTCTCTAAGTGTGTGTGGGGGACGGGGGGAGGAGGATATTAAAGCAAAAGCCACACTCCACCCAAAAGCTCACAGTATTGGAACAGCTGCAGATGGCTCAGCTCATCCAGCCAAAATGCTGCCAGTCCTCACTGAGCAGGGAACCAAAACAGAAGTAGCGTGCCCCCCACACCCCCCTTCTAAATACAGCAGGTTAAATTCTGGCCATTCTCAAAAGGCAAAAGAGGAGTGGGACTTAATATTATAAGGTTTGATAAACAGTAAAATAAAATTATAATTTTCTTATAAAAGCCCTCTTTTCAAGAGGCAACAGACACAGAAAGTTGTTCAAGAATAAAGCAAAAATATAAAGCCTAACAAAGCAGCAATTAGCAACTGAGTCCAAAATCACAGGAAGCAACAACAGTGAGAATCTGTGACATTAACTAGGGCGCCAGTCCACGCTAGTCTTGCTTGTGTAGGGAAAATCATGAAGGCTTTTGATATGAACACAAAATTAGTGGGTGTCCTGTAATGTTTAAATTGTCCTTGAGCTATTTTAAACTCAAACAATGAAGCAAACTGACAGTAATGCAAATGATATTTTGTCCATAAAAATGCAAATTGTGTCCACTGGAATGCAATTGATTACTGTCCTGTGGATATTGACTACTTTGTCAGCTTTGCATCTGTCAATTCATTTTAGCAACCCCTGACTATAAAGATGCACTACTCAGTATTCTCCTTGGAACCCGTTGTAACTTCTTACTGTTCCCTTATTAATCAGTGGGTTGAATGAAAGTTTTGACATATG